AATCAAACATATTAACCACCTTCAAAAAATAAATAAATGGCAAAGAAAAATAAACACATTGATAGTTACACATACATGTACACATTTGCACAACTTATAATAATGATGTACAGAGTATATTTCTGCTTCGAATAAGATTTAAAAGCCAAGGGAGCAGCCCTATCCTATGAAGAAAGCAGTCTGCTTTTGTAACGAAAACATTCCATCATACAAAAACTTACAGTAAAGCGCTGTAGTCATACAAAGTCGCTTTATGTCTCTAATCTTTAAGCACTGTAACTAGCAACCCCAAGTTTGTACTTGTCATGAAAGACGAAAAAAGAATGCTTTTTACTAACCAAATTTAGCTGACATGGCAATATGGTTGTGTGGGGCTTCCAATGGACACATGTTTTCAAAAAGTTTTCGTTGCTATATGTGTTGCTAAGACATTTAAATTTTTCCTACGAATTAATAACATCAAGATCAACTTAAAATTAGCATAAAAAAACACCAGCATTACTCTTAAAATCATGAAAGATAATTATAACACGCAGTTCATCAATGGCAAGTTCTTTGCTCCTGTTATGATGTTACTCACCAATGTTATGTTGTTACGCACCAATGTCATTATTATGAACTGCTGCTACATTGCAGTCATTGAGACGTGAAGATTTTAAACCATAAAACACAATAACTTCACTTTGTCTTCTGCAATGAAACAGAGAAATGAGTAAAATGTGCTCATTGTCTTAGTTGCTTGAAGACCACACCCACTCAAACTTTTCACTGGTTTTTATGGCAGTTAAGAAAAAAAAGCATTTTTGGTGCAACCCTATACCTGTACATACATTTTAGATAATGATGCTTAGGAATGCTACCTTTTACTCACTCTTTTCAGCACTTCCTCAAATGTATCCGTTGCATCATTAACATTTTTCCAAATTTCGCCATGAAATACAGACTAAGCAAATATGTTGTCCTTTTGTGTGCGAGACACTTCCTAGATTATCAAAAATTATTGTAATATGCATGTCGCTCCACTCTCACACCAATTTAATTTTGATTTTTGCAAATAAAATAAAGTAATGAAATGAAATCACAACTGCTAATTATGGCATGTCACTATGATTAAAATCAAAAAAAAATGGATTCTTAAAGTTCGAACTTTATGATATGTGACCATAATTGACAAAAGGTACCTTATGGCGGGTAGTGAAATTTGTCTTTCTAGCCCAAGAAATCCAACTTCCTGAGCCCCATTCATCATAAAATTACTCCACAGGATGCAAAAAGTTACCATGAAACTTTTAGAAACAATGATTGTCTAACAAAGCACTCACAGGTTGATATTTTCCATTATAACAATCATTTTTAAAATCCGCCATAAGGGCCCTTTTGTCAAATATGGTCACATATAATTAACATGGGACGCTCTTTTTTGAGGGCTATATATTTCGAGTTCTTTTTTTGTGAAAGCAAATTTTACTAATTACCATGTCTTGAATAGCCACATCCAAAGTTAATTGATTGTCATTATTGATGATTAAAAGCCACACTATTCATTAGACAGAAAACCACACCTTTCAAACACAAGTGACGTCACAACAGTCTCAAAACAACATGCTGGAGCCTTGGAAAAGAATGAAGGAGGTATTTGTTTTTGATTCAATGGTGAGGGGCTTTCATGTCTATAAAGATATATGCATCCAGAATTTGGTGAGACACTTATATGCAAAAAGGAGTTTGGAAACATTCATGACCCATATGCCATGTCTGTTCTTCGCGGTCATCGCAGTGGTGTCGAGACTATCAATGGACACATTAGGAGGCCTTTAAGTGCCCTGTAATCTGACGTTTATTGGGAAAGCTAAATACATTAAGAAGTTCACAAAGCTTGCTGGAGCAGCCCCTTATGTCATTATAGACCTGGAACACCCCTCAAAAGAACAGAAATGCTGTCAAGGATACTGATAATCATGATCAATTTTAGCTTCAGTTCCATGGTTGCTTACTCACAGAATATGAGAAACTGGCTATTACATCAAAATAATATTCTTACAGACCAGCACATATACTATAAGCCAAAGCAATACTTCATCAGCAATATCCACATGTAAGTGGTTTTAAAAGCAACATCATTCAAGCTAGGCCACCATAAAGGAAAATTTCTTAAGGTGGCTTACATATAATTTATGATAGAAGCAATCATTGGATTGTTGCCTCGGCAATTAGGAGTGACGACAATGTGGAGATTGTACAAGTCTGTGACTCTATTTTCATTTGTGTGGATGATGACACAGCCAAGGTTTTTAACAACCTCTTCAATGTCAACACTAATACACAAATTAAAGTTATAAAGATGCAACATTAGACTGGCTCAGTGGATTGTGGCATTTTTGCAATTGCTGTATGTATTTCAATGACGCATGGTATAGATGCTTCATTGGTTTATTTCTCTCAGAATGAAATGAGACAACACCATTTCTGTTTCACTGCCAAGTTATTGATCCCATTCCCTCAGGTAAATCATTCCTTGACTATAAGTTTTGTCCAATAATTAAAAGCACCTTCGAATTCATTCAAAATAATTTGTTGGAATACTTTTAATGTATTTGAAGGTGCTCATAAGCCACTGAACTCCCAATGGTTCAATCACTGACATCTTTAGATCTATTGAACAACTTCTGTGCCATGTCTACCATTAATCTGTGCAATAACTTGACTCTCACACCATTCCTGGATCTGTTTTGCACGTGTTCCTATACAGCCTTATTGACAATTACATCAAGTGGCTAAAGGTGATTAGTGCAATTGGCGGGTACTACAACCAAGTGAATGTCATTGTCTTTCAGCAGAGATTGAATCTCTGATGTACACTTGCTTTGAAATCTGTCAAAAAACATTACAAAAGCAGCATGCTCATTTGATAATGAGAGATTCCTTCTATGCTGTTGAAAGTATGGAATCAACACTTTTTGTATCTGTAGCTCTGTTGCACTTTCATTTGCCCAATGATTAGGGGTAAAAATAACGTTCCAGTCATCTGGGAAATTGGTAGAAGGCAGGCATTGCCTGGTTCTGCAGCATATATTACTTGTGGTGGTAAAAAGCTCCTGCCAAGGAAAGCACTGAATATCACAGTAAGCTGATGTTTGTCTCCCGAACCAGCCACTTTGATACATTTGGAACCTTCTGCTGCCAAGATCCAGTTAGTGACAGGGACAAAATTAATTCCGGTATAGTCCCAGTTAACTACCAACTTTGAAGGAATTTTTAGTCAAATTATGTGTTCTCTAAATATACACAACTCATACTACATGGCATGAAATCATTAACTACTTTGGGGCTGTATTAATAATGCTTAGTAATTTTTGTAAAATAATATTCTTTTGCTTCACTATCTGGTGCAGGTAATGAGTAAATCCTTCACTTTACTATTTGGTGCAGGAAATAAGTAATTAGGACGCAATCCATACAATATGTGACATCAAAATAATCTTCCTTTAGACACTTTTAATTTTCCTTATTAAGTGCTCTCTTAATTTTATCCATATCGTTAGCAGAAAGTTTAAACCTCAAGAACATATCCTTCATTGCACTTAATATTGCATCTCTGTTTAATAATACCATTTGAAAGCGATATGTTTTTGGCTTTGCGGATCCAGATTTGGGTATAACATTTCTTTATTCAGGAGGTTTAAGGGGCGGGGAGTATGCAGAAATAAAGGAAGGGGGGTTCTGAGAAGCGCACAAAACACGCTGCAATTTTGGCCTTGCCCACTATTGGCCATGGATACACCACTTTTCCTGCCATATGCATACACAAGCGCATTGTGTTGTTTTGTTATAAGTGAACAAAAGTAACATAATAAACAAAACTGAATCAATCCAGTTATTCGTTTTACAAAATATTGGCAACTTGTAACCTTCGTGGATGCCTCCTACTAAACTCATCTACTGCTGCTTCAATATCTATTTCAATATCTGTGTTCATGCAACAGAGACGAACTAGAAAGCCTGTGAGTTGTCGAGCAATACGGTGTCTTTAATTTCTTCAGACTACCAAAAGATCTCTCTGCTGAACAACTAGTGACAGGAAGAGTACACAAAATGATGAGTTGAGTCTTCATACTTGGTTAAATAAAAGATGTCAGGGCAAGAGAAATCGTGAGATTGTTTGTTAGGCTACTGGGACCATGAGTTGATAAGTGCTCTTCCCATTTCAACTTCCAGCATTCTGTTTTGCTACTTATGCCACCAGGAAATGGCATATCAATGCTGTACAAATGAGACAGCTGCAACATGTTTTCAGTAAAAGCCTCCTTGCTCATTTTTGTCACTGCAGATGATACAAGTGATAACCCTGACAGTGCAGATTTATGGTGCTGAGTGAAGCGAGAAGCTAGTTGTGAAAGAAGTTGGTCAACCAAAGGAATGGTAATAGTACAACAGAAATACTGTGTGTCAGCTGGAACATTGCTGCATTAAGTTTGATGCCTACATGTTCGAGGAACAGAAAGTATAGTACCCGTACCTTCACAGATCTTCTCAACATTGTGGAACAATTTCAAATGATGTGTCACTTTTGTCTCAGACATTCTTCACTGTCTGTATTACAGTATTTATCACTTGGACAGCAGTTACAATATCAAGACATTCACCTTATAGTTTAACTGTCACAGAGTGAAGGTATTGTGAACAGGAAGTAGTGAAAACCAACAATGAGACAAAATCAGTTGTACTTAAAGCTAAGTGAAGACTTCTGGCATCTGTACGTGAATCTGATCACCATAATTGTGGACCTTCTGAGATGATGGTTTCCATGCATGAAAAGGTAGACTTGTACAATGTACAATAAGTGGAAAGACAATCCAGACGCTGTATCAAAGAAGTACGATACAAATCCTTTAATTTTTCGACAGCTGAAGATGGCTGAGTCTCTTTTATTACAAGTTCATATGCTCTCAGCCTTTTTGGATGTAAAGCAAAAAAGAAGTAAACACTCTCAACTATATTCATCATGTTACTAACATTAGTGCTTCAAAGTGACGTAAAAACTTTAAGGCAGTGTCAAGCACAATGGAGATAAAGGTGATCTTCTTGTCTGCTAAAGCACACCCAGTAATTTTGGTGTCACATTCAAAGAATCCTACCAGGTCTTCATGTACTACAAGAGTCTCAGAATTGACATACTTCACCACAATGCTTATTATCTCCTGGATCGAAACATCAGTCACCTCATCAGCAATCACAGTAAACCATTTAGCTGCCTGGATATTACAAGTCACTTCACTTCTGACTTGATCTGCCTGAATTTCCATCATTTGATTCTGAGTTACTGATGATGTGTACGTGGCATGCCTGCTAGCATTAATGAGATCCTCTTCAAGAACTGAATCACCAGAATCAATTCTAAAATTATTATGTGCCCATAAATTGCCATGATTATGGGAGCCAGCAACATCTCTCTCTAGATCTGTCACATTATTACGATGACCATGTAAACTGAATTTCTGTGACCACGGAGAGCAATTACTTTAAAAAAAGAGTAACGCTTTCTTTTATCCAAGGCAACTTGATCAGCCATCTGCTGGTTTAAGACAGTACTTATGGCTAGCTGTTGGTGTGCCATAATCCTAACAAAACATTCACATCTATTGACTGACTCTTTATGATGAAATGTACAATAATGCTTTCGTAGAATCTCTAGTGCTTTGTGGAAACTTGTCAATGGCTTAGTTACTAAATCTCCTGGAAATGACCCATGATATTCAGAGATACAGAAGAGGACACAGTTGATACGGTAGCCACCATTCTCTTGCAATGAGTAGGCTAGCCAAGGAAACTCCTGGAGCCATTTATATTGGAAAGAATGGCCGTTTGAATTTTGAGGGAAAATGTGGTTTCTGTCTGGTTCAAAATGATATTGAAGAATGTTGTACTTTGCACTTGAACTGAGCTTCTCTGCATTTCCAGCTACATTAGCATTATCATTGTAATCAAGTGCTTGATGCTTTGCAGCAGAAGTTAGATAATCACCTTCATAATCATTCTCATCAGACATGTCACTATTGACAACATGATCAGTACAACTAGCACAGCTGCAAGATAAATGATATACAACAGTTTACAACTGTGTATGCTTGTAGTTTATACACCAAGAATACAAACAAGTATACTAAGTTATGCATGTCAATTATAGTTACGTATACTGAAGTATATATTGGTATCCCATGTAACACATCGGCTTCACTTAGTAAACTATGTTATACCACAGTATACAATGAAATAATTCATTACATAACACATTTTAAAATAATCTGTATCATAAATTTAGCTTCACTAATTTTATCAATAACGCTACACATTCATTCTACTGTTACATCCAACAAACAATTGATTTCATTTATGTGACAAATTCTACTGCTTTAAAAGACATACCTATAGCATAAAAGCAAAAAAGCTTTGATTCTACTGATATTAAGTAATAATTAAAATTACAGGCAAAGATTGAGAAAAGGAAGCAGCAAAAGTAAGCAAAAAACATTGCTATCACTTGCACCACAAAAAATTTTGCAGTTCTAGCATTTAACATAAACTTAAGGTACTTTTGGATGAAATTTTAATATTTTTTTACTTGCCGCCATTTAGTATGGCCACCAGTATGTATTTCCTGACTATTGTTTATATAGCTGTTTCATCTGGTAAATGCAGGCTCTACGAAGCTCTAAAGCTTGCAATCGTGGCATAATGAAGGCAAACACTCAATCAAGTTTGTATGCAGTGAATGCTTTTCTGATACACTGATGTTTGAAAGTCACAAAAATTTATGAGAGATTGTAGCCCATTTTGCAAAACTTGAAAAACTTTTGCCAAATGATGCAACATATGACAATGGAAAATAATATTATGAACACAATGATATTACTAAAAATTAAAATACTCTAATCATGTTCAAGAATTCTTTACTCAGTTTTCATCCATTTTACAAAGTTTAGTAAAGTTTATTGCATGTTACTATTAAGAAAAAAATTTAAAAAATTATATATTTTACAAAAAGTATAAATAAAACAATTTGTGTCCCAAAATGTAAATTGTGCGTTCAGCCCGTTGTACCTTAATATTGTTAGCCTCAATGGAATAATTGTGTAAATCAAAAAAAGGTATTTATGTTAAACAAAATAATGATTATATTATAGTCCTAACGGTGAAACAACTGTTACTCACTCAGGTCCAATTACTCTGCCAAAGTCTACCTCCTGCTGAGAATATGCTACACAACATTGAAGTCTAGATATAGGTATGAAGTGAATATCTTGTGTAGCTACATTAGACCATACTTCAACTGGTAAACCATACCAAACTCTGCACTGATGCTGACAATAGAAGCTGACACTAGCAAACTACATTTTTAACATGAATTATTATCTGATAGTAAGATGTCTATACCATAAGGCTTGGTATTTTTATGGCTCGATATTTTTGTGGTTTGTTTATAGTGGGGCAATTCGTGGTTTAATTTTCGTGGTGGACAGTTTACATAGCCTGTAAGGGGATGGCACTTCAATGATTTCGTGGGTTTAAATTTCGTGGGCAGCCCATAACCACGAAAATCACTAAATTTACATTCCACAAAAATTTCAAGCTATACGGTATGTAAAAGTGATTAATAGGAGTTGGCTTGTAAGCAGCTAATGTAATTCTTTTAAACCCTTATATAAGATGTTGTGTATTGACTTCATTTTGAACCCAACACGTATCCATCAATGATCAATGCTTTGCATTTTTTATATAGTGTGAGAATTATAAAGTCATTGTGATGCAATCCTTGTGTAGCTACTTTTACAAGTTTTTCCTTTTCATAGTAGAATGAAGAAGATTCATGAACAGGAGGCAATGATGCAATAAACTGATCAGGAGAGTCTAATGCCATTTCCAAGTTGTTGGCCATGAGAAAGCCTTTATTGTATTTGCAGTTGTGAATAAGAGAAAGAATTTCATCTTTGTATTCTTGACGCCGATTCTGTGATGCATCTTCCATTTCACTTAATTACCTCCTCACTAATTGTAGTGATATATCATGATTAATTGTATGGCAATTACCAAGTATGCCATTTAAACGTTCAAAACTAAAAAGCCAAAAAGTATATGCTGGGCCAAAATCTTGTACACATTCCTTCAAACGACAATGAAGGTGTGAATTAATTGTACAAAATGTGGACCCATAAAGTTCTTCAAACTTTTTACAAAATAACACTAGTAGCAAATCTGCTTCAACTAACTGACGAGTAATAGATTGTGAACACACGTTTGCAAGTCTTCACAAAGAGCAACCAACACTTATATTGGTTATGTGGAAGACATCCTTTTAATGCAGGTAGAGAATACACAACAATCCAAGTTCAGCAGTAAAACCTGCAAAACCAGATGCTACTTGAGAAGGTATTCGCCCAACATGATCTTGTACAATGTAAGCATCTATTTTAATTTGAATTATTTCAAAATGATTTTCAGTTAACAATTTAAAAGACTTAAAACTGACAATGGGGCCACTGGAAAAAGATGAAATGAAAAACATAAAATGAAAAAGATGAAATGAAAAAGATGAAATGAAAAAATGAAATGAAATTATACATTCTATGTGTGTTCAAGAAAGCTAATCCTTTTTGGACTCTTTTGCTTATTTTTGTTCTTCATTGTATTTTTTTCTGTCTGCATGTCCTTCCTCCCTCTTTCTTCCCATCTCCTTAATATAAAAATTAATAATAATTATCCTGTTTTATTTATATTTTACAATGCTGTAACAAATTGCAAAGAATGTAAATGATAGATAGGCAAAAAAAGAATCTTGTGATAAGTTATACAACAAGGTCTGATAATGTGAAGAAGTTACGAGTCTAGAACATTACTCCAAACTGAGAAAGGAGACCCTTGTGTAATGCATCTAGCCTGCAAGCAACATCTTGAGGAATAATAAGTGAAATAGGATGAAATGACGGCCATTGAGACTGAACACAAGCTAAATTGACATGATAGTAAGCATTTCCAAATTTGCTTTGAGGAGTTTGATTCAAGGTGAATGTTCTCCATTCCTCATGCACAAGTCGTATGGTGAAAAGCAAGGCTTCATGTATCTCTGCTTACAGCCACTACAGACGGAAATGTTACCCTGAATAAAGCACAAGAAAAATGGAGATACGTTGCCATGAGATTGGTGAGGAGTTGTAGGTGAAGCATAGGAAGGTAGATGGGGATAGACAGGAAAAGAATGTGC